TAAGCGTGGGCTTCCGCTTGCAAGGCAGGCCACCGAACCACTGAGCTAAATCCCCGGCCCTATAAATTCAAAATTTAAAAAAGGGCTGAGGATGTATCTCAGTGCTCCTGGGGTTCAATCCACAGTACTGACAAAAAATTTAAAGTTTCTGGTTTTGAAACATTTTGGTTGGGTTTTTGGATCCAGCAGGTTCCATTTTCCCTGGAGGGGAATACTGCAGGAATAGTGACATGTGGACTGGGGTGATGATTGGCAGTGAGAAAAGGCAAAGCCCAGAAATAAGTAGCAGGTATGGGTTGGTGGCTTGAAAGTGATGAAGGGCGACTCTGGTTGGTGCAGACTCAGGCCAGAGTCTTGAAGGTAGCGGTGGAAACAGGGACTGTGCCATTCTTTTGACCAGAGTCTTAAATAATTACCAGAACAGAAACTATCCTTTTCTTCATTCAGAAAGTATTTATTGAACACCTACTCTGTCCCAAGCATTGTTCTAGATGCTGGAGACAAAGTAATGCAAAGATAAATTCTTTGCCTTCCTGGAGCTTATATTCTAGGGGAAGACAGACAATAAACAGATAATGAAATATGTAAATACAGTATAAATGTCAAAAAGAAAATGCAAAGCACAGAAGGTTCTTTTGTTTTGTTTTTGTTTTTGTTTTAAACAAACTAGCCTAGCCACAGAAACCTTTACTACACAACTGCCATCATCTGCTCCCCTGAGCCACAGGCTGGGGACAGAGGCCCACGTGGCGCCTTCCAGGCAGGAGCAGGATGCGGCCCTCCAGAGCCCTTTTGAGCCCTCCCGGGGCTGCAGCAGGGTCGGTGCACCAAGTCTGTGCGAGGCCGCCTCCCTTCCTGGGGCCGCTGGTCCTCATTTCGTGCCACATCTTCACAAGCGGCTCCCTGTTCTTCCAGATGAGCTTGTGGCCATAGGTGACATACCATGTGCCCCCGAGATGCGCCGTGTGATCGAACAACTTCCAGCCCACGATCATCCCCACCGTGTCCAGGGTGCCAAAGGTGAGCATGGGCAAGAAGATGATGCCCTCCTGTGCAGGACCTTAGGTGCACATGGCGGCCAGCATGGTCATGGTGGCGCCCGATGCACCAAGTGATGGTCCGTATCTTCCCGTGGCAACTTTACACACGTAACCGACAAAACTGGAAATAACACCTGCGGACTAAGTGCTGCAAGTGCTGTGCGCTAAGATGGCCAGAAGGCTTCTCAGGAGGTGTCATCTGAATGCACTTCAGAGGGGACTTGCAAGAAGAGATGGAGAGAGGGCTAGGGCAGAGGGGGTGGGAGGTGGGATGCCCTGAAGTAGGTGTGCCTCAAGTCTGCCAGGAAAAGTGAGGAGGGCTTCAGGCAGGAGAGTAGGTGGGACAGGATGGTAGTGCCCACCCACATCAGAGAGGGGAGTGTGGCCAGATCATGGAGTGGCCACTGTGTGGGCCACTGTGAGCTCTCTGCATCTTATTCCCAATACAAAGAGCAGTCCCTGTCCCTACCAGGAAGAAAACTGGAATCACGCGATACTGCTGGCTGCTATATGAACACTGAGTAGGAGCAAAGTAAAAAGAGGAAGTTATATTAAGAGCTGGTAGTGTGTCAGGAGAGACGGGTGGGTGGTTAAACCAAACTGCTGGAGAGTGGTCAGATTTAGGATTCATTTTCAGAGGTAATGCAATGACCTCAACTTGGTGGCCTCAGAGTGATAGGGGCCAGAGGGAGTTATGACCTAGGCTGGGCCAATGAGAATATCAGCTTGGGTTGTCATGTGATTTGTGGTTTATTATACAGATGTCCCCCTGAGGCCTCATGAGTTCACAGTGGGCCTTTTGGGAGGTGACTGGATCATGAGGGTGTGATACTCATCACACTGTGAACCAAAACAAACCTGTCCTCCCTAGAGTTGAGGGTGTTAGGAACTGAGCCACGGGAGGAGACAGTCACCTGGACCGTGGCATTATGTGCTGTGCCTCTCAAATACTCTGTGATGTACCTGGCAGGGTCCCGCCATTGAGTGACCTAAATTAGGTTCCTTGAGGCAGAATTTATCTTTACGTAGTTGGTTAGGAAATGGTGGCCAGAAGATGCTGGGAAATATAATCTATCCAGCAGGAACTGTTACATTGGGTTTCCAAGCAGCAGCAGGTATACCGCTCCCCGTCTCTAGAAGGTAGATGAATAGATACACACTTACTTTGAAGGGGTAATGTGACAGTAAAAGATCAGAAGTAGCATGCCAAATGTCCATGTGGTCTGCTGGACCTGTTCTCCACTGGCTTTTTAATTTAGTTGCCTGACAGATGGAAAAAAAATGTGCCATCAGAGGAGGCAGAACCACATCCCAACACAGTTTTGTACTCAAGTCAAGCGAGAAGACTGGGAGCATGCCATTAGAGTGCCGAGTGGGCATTTTCCAAAATCCTTCCTCCTAGTGGCTCCTGCTGCAGTCAGAATTCCAGGGGACCTCACTCACATGGCCATCCTGTCAGCAGGAGTATGCTGCCAGGGACAGGAGGGGAGACAAGGGGAAGGAAAGGGGGGTGTCAGAGGACTCAGACTGCTCCAGCCAAACTCAAGGTGGGAGGGATGAGGGGGGACAGGGATGACGGCCAAGTGTACAAAGCTTCAATCAGGCAGGAGGAAAACACATTTGTTTCTTTGAGATATACTGTACTGTGTGGTACATTTCCAAATCACTAAAATTTCAAATGTTCTCCTCCCAAAGAGTATTTGAGACAATGAATATCCTAATTAGTGTAACCTAGTTGCTTCACATTGTAATGATAAATCATAGCACCACTTTCTTTTCCATAAATATATAAACTATAAATTATCGATTTATAATGAAAAAACAGCCATGTGCCATGTAGCTCTCTGACAGCTCATGAGGAAGCGAGTCCAGTTTAGCAAGTCACCAGGAACCTTGCAAACTTGGCATAAGATGATTAAAAAAATGACTTTATATCACACAAGTCCTGTTCTGATACAGTTTTATTGTAGAAGGGGGAGAATCAACACATTTTACAAATTTAAGGGCTACAACAAGTTGTAGGTGCCCTTTCCAGACATTCCTATGCCATGTTCCCACAGCAAACAACCTGGACGTGAGCAAGGGGTAATATTCCAGAAGGACTGGGTGCAATTGCTATATGCAATTGCTTTAGTTGTCTTCTTTTTTTGTGGTGGTGGGGATGGAACCCTGGCCTCACGAATACTGGCTAAGTGCTCTACCACTAAGCTCCATTCCTAACCCTACATATTTCTGAGAGAACAGTCATATGACTGCTAAAATGTTGCTTAAACCTCTTGAACAAATCTCTAAAGGGCAGCAGGGCCCCAGGAGCCTGTGTAATTAAAACATCCAGTCAGAATCTAAACATTCTGAGCAGCTGGGACTCTATCTGGACTTTGGGGTGTTCACAAAGGATGAGGAACTCACAGGTGACAGCGTCTTGATACATGAGGCCACCTCTGGCTATAGGAAAACTCACAAGTCTCCAGAAGTAGGGCCATCCTCACTGGAAGCCTGGCTCTCAAAGCCACTGCACATGTGGAGGCTAGTTTCTGAACTCAGGAGGTACCAAGATGGAAATGTGGTTTCTATGAAGGACAAGAATGCAAGCTATGTGGGCTGCTAGCCCAGCTCCCCCTTTTTTTTTTTTCAGCTTCCCTTCTCACATGGCCTTGAGAAAGCCAAGCAGCAAAGAGGAGCTGATGAGGCTCAGTAGGGACTGAAGAGGTATAGTCTGGGAGCCATGATGCAGGGATTTCTGGAATTAAGGCAAGAGCTGCCCTTTCAGAAAGAAATACTTCAGACGGTGCCTGTTATTTCCAAGTGAACTATAAAGATACTTTTGACTGCTTGGAGTTTCCAAAATTCTGATATTTGATGGGAGTGGTGGTGGGGGACAAGGGTTAGCAGGGCAATCTGTGATTTCCCGAGTAACTGTTTGGAATCCATCCTTCCAAACTGTACAGTAGCCCATCCTGTTTGTTGTGTTATTTTCTGTGGTAATATGCAGTTGAAAACAGGGGTGGGGTGGAGAGGACAGGAACAGGGCCCCAGCTCACTGGCAGGGAAAGGGGTGCTGTGACTGCCATGTGCATTTCCTCTGAGGTGGCCCTGCCTGGCCCGGAGACACAGAACAGAGGTCTGGTAGAACTTGTCTGACCAACAGCCACTCTGGCCACCGAGTGGGGAGTGTGTGTATGTGTGGCCAGAAGGAGAGGATATACACGAGGGAGAAGAAAAATGGAGGATGATGGTGATGTATACTTACAAGGTGTATACAGTTCATCAAAGAGAAAAATATTCTTTGTATTAACTGGCTAAGCCAACTCATTTCTTATTTGGGGGGCATTTAGGGACATTATATACATATACATATACATATACATATATATATATATATATATATGCTCACACACACACACACACACACATATATAAGTGAACACTGAGCACCAGAGTATTTTACAACCTTGTACTAAAGCCAATGATTTCCCTTCTTGCACTCCAGAATTACAAAAATATTCTTACCCAACAACAAAAGAATTGTGTGTTCTGTTTAGCTCTTCCCCCAGGTTCCCACTTATTATCAGCTCTGAGCATTTTCCTTGTCCCCCTCCTCACCTGGCCGCTGCTTACAGGTGAGCATGAGCAGCAGGAGCAGAGGCAGGTGCCACAGGCTGCAGAAGAACAGTTTCCGGGAGCTCTTCCGGTCGGCGTCCTTGTAGAACCGGAAGCCGAGGTAGGAAATGTACAGGTTGATGGGGAGGGAGACGACGGGGAAGGCCCACGTGGTGACGTCTAGCACAGGGGCAGCCACGCACAGTCCGACCAGGGCCAGGCAGTGGCGCAATGCCACACGCCTACACAGGCCTGGGTGAGTCACCGACATCATGCAGTAGCCACCCCGGGAGTAGTCTTCACGCAGGCCCCAGCTCAGTGCATTGAAATGTGGGAACTGCCAGGAGTAGAGGATTCCTCCCAGAAGAAGTCCTCCTGTTCAGAGGTTCAGATGGAAAAGAGGGAAACAAAGTCAGTGTTTGTGTTTACGGTCTGGTATCATCCGTGGCTGCAGGCATCCACTGTGGGTCTTGGAATGTATTCCCCAAGGATACAGGAAGACTATTGCAATTAGTTCACCCAACAACTTCTTTTAGAAAGCTGTGGCCATACACAGACCCGTAGTAGTAATATTAAGATAATAGGCCTAGTACTTATTTCAGTGATAAACAGATATTTATCCTGACAATGAGTGTTTTTGGCAAATTAGAAAGGAGAAAGAGAAAGTTTGGGCCCAAAAGGTATAAAGGAAATAGCAAACCGGGAGGTGGAAGTAGACTTTGATTTTAATGGAAAAATAAAATGATCTCCAGACTAAAAGATATGGTAAGTAAGGAGGGCGTGTTGTTCGAGACCCACAGGGTACACAGTGACACTGAGGTCCCTAGGCATGTTGTATGGAGTAGCAACCCCAGCCCACCAGCTGCTTGCCGTTAACAACAGCCGCAGTGCAGGGAGAAGCTGACAAGACCCAGAAGTTTCTTGTCAAGAAAAACATCAGCAATGATTTAGACAGGGGAAGAGACAGGATGCTTCATAGATCTGTGAATGTGTTTTGTTCTAGAAGTGGCCCAGAAAGCAAACAGTTTGGAAACCAAACTTGAAATGGTTAAAACAGCAGGCTCAAATGTGGAATTGCTTTTGTCTTTCTCAAAAGCCTTCCTTTTTTGTGTGTCAACTGGAGTATTCTGTGTTGCTAAATATACATTTTCAGTTACACCTCTGCTTAAAATAACATAATTTGGAAAAAAAAAAAAAAGCTCATTCTCATTTTCAGAAGAGTAGTATGCTGCTGTCTGTGTGAAAGGAAATTGGTACGGGTTTGGCTCCTGTCACAAATGAAAGCATTTTAGAAATCATAGCTTAGTCTTAATGGATTATACTCAGAAAACTACCACCCACACACAGTTCAGACTTGATATGCTTCACCTGCCTCAGCTCTATAAAAGATGTAAAACAAACTGCTCTCTTCATCAAGATAAGGTGAACTAGAACAGGAAGGCTTGAATTAGTCCCTGGCTGTGGTGGGACCCACCTTCCTTGTGGGGTAAAATAAAGCACTTAGCTTGCAAATTCAAAGGCCTCCCTTACCCTCATGATGAGTACTCTGCTCATCCCCTAGCCTCATTCTCTAAGCAGTCAGTTTTCATTGGGTCTGCCTCCCAATGACAGCAAACATTCCCAAGCCCAATAAATGACAGGCACTATCAGTCCTCAAAGTCCTTTGCTATCAAAGCATGGGCAGGGAGAAAGACACCTCTGCGATGAGTGTTCCCTTAGGGACACGACTTGGTAGCACATGGCAGAAGCTTCCTACACGCTCAGCTTTGGCAGGTGAAGGAAGGCTGCCTGGAAGGAATGATTTATTAATTGAGATCTGAAGATGGTCTCTTAAGTTTCAATGCTTTCATACAAATCAGCATTTTCCATTGAATTGTCTCATTTTTCTACCTAACCCTAATTTTAGGTAGAAAAATGTACATATTTGGTTTTTAGTCCTAAGTAGAATAAATATGTTTCCTTGTCTTTAATCAAATACCTGTTTGTGTGACTATGTAACATATTGGGAATTTATGAGAGACGGGGCATAACTGTGCTCTCTAGAGAACAGCAACTTGAGATCACGATATTACAGTTCTAGCTACGAGGGAACTCCAGAGGATATCCAGGTGTCCAGGGCATTACTGTTTCCCTTCTTGCACAGAAAATGGAGAAGAGCACATCTACTATTCTGTGTGTGGACAACAGCAGAAAATCCTTATGCAGCAGCACCCATGCTTGGTCAGGGATGTGTTAGGTAAGGAAGGCTGACTGGTGTCGTCCTGGTGACACTTTAAAGACACGTGCATTTCTCAGCTTTCTTCAAAACTCTTAACAAACACTTTGCAACACAGAGACTTGAGGAAAATCTCACTCATTTCTACTTCTGTCCCAAATGATCTTGTCCAGAGAAGCAAAACTTCTTGAGAAAACTTCTTTGCTTCTTCTTCTTGAGAAGCAAAACTAAGGCAATTCTAGTCAAATGGTATCTGACAAATGAAGACCAAAATTCTCAAGTTGGGGTTCTCTCAATATGTGCTCTTCCAAGGAAAATTCCTTCTGGAATGGAGTTCAGTGGTTTTAGCTTGCTTTCACTGACTGCCTGGTGGGCACCTTCCCACCCCATCCCAAGCCATTCATTGTCATTCACCGTCCACACATGGCTTTGCAAAGGATAAACCTAGCTCCATTTTGAAGCCTTGTTACTGGGTCTGGGGCACAATAGGCTGCTCTCCTAACAAGGTCCTGTGCAGTGCATCTGGGCCATGGCAGCTATATCTGTGCTTTCATGCTTATATGGTTATGTAAACTGGCAGCTAGCAAGGAAAGCAGAGCCAGACCCAGAGCTTCATGGTCACAGATTTCAAAGGCTTTCTTTTGAGGCTTAACACAAAGGGGTTTGTGAAACAGATCGGCCTCAACAGTAGAATATACTTCTATGGTGGTACAGATAAAGGGAAGAGGGTGTGGGGCCAGTTTATCAACTGCCCAGGCAATAAAAGGGAAGATTAAAAGTCCTCTGAGAATAGGAAGCAGAGTGGACAATGGTTATTTGCTCTCAAATTCTTTGGAAAGTGACTTGGGAATAATGATTCAGCTCAGGGGCTGGAGCCAGGAGATTGTCTTCTCCCTCACCTTGTGTGTTTCCTGCTGTCCAAGAGTCACAAGGTGGGTTTCAGGGAAAGATGGGAGCCAGGGAAGCACAGCTGATTCTGAAAAGGGCTCTCCTCTCTTACCATTCCCCTGGAAGTTTAGCATCTTTGTATTCTCTTAGACATTCAAACGGTCCCTACTTCCTTAGATCACATTGGAAGGTCTTTTTGTCTTTATCTCCCGAATATTAATCTAGTCAGTGGAAAGCACTAATTTAATGTGCACTATGCACCAGATACCATGTCTACCCGAGGCTGCCCTGCCAATCCATATCTATCATTCTATCCAGGAAGCACTGGCCCAGTGCCCTAAAAGCTTGTGATCAATCATACTCAACAGCAGTACTGCCTGTTTGCCTCCAATTACACCACCATCTTGAATCTAGCAATGTTTCTAGTACATTCTTCCAGTCTTTTTTTTGTTCTTTGAATAAAGTGTATTTCCACTGAAGTTTTCCTTATCTGTTTTGACTTTTAAAATGTCATTTACCTTAATTAATCTAGCTCTAAGGCTAGTTATGGTAAACCCCACACATAAATAGACACTCATTTTTGAGTAGAATTTCAAACTGAGGCTGTATTTTAAAGGGAATCTTTTTTTTTTTTCTGGTACCAGGGATCGAACTCAGGACTTTGTGCCTGCCAGGCAGGTGCAGTACCACTAAGTCCCCAGACCCCTTTAAAGGAAATCTTTAAAAATGCTTGGGTTAGATAGTACTTGGTATTTAGCAAGCCCTCCATAAATATCTGTTGAATGAATAGGCGATTCTCACTATTTGACTCTATTTTCTCAAATGGGACAAAAAGAGGAAAATAGAGTGAAACAGTATTTAACAATTTGTAGTTTACCAGCTGAGGTTAAAAAAAAAAACCTTTCTCTTTTTGTTACTACAACCATCCATCTGCCAAATGTCACTTCCTGATAAAAGCCCATTTCTAAGTCCTTATGTGTAACTGAATGTTGGCTGACAGAATTAATGTTTACCATACAACATCTGAATTACAAACCAAAGACCACTGACAAGTCAGCTCCACAAAATGGTCACATAGAGGTCTACTCTATAAATTCCCAAGGCATGAGATTGATTCAAATTTAGGAAAACGACCACAAAAGAATGTATTCTGGAGAAATGGGGATGTGGAAAGAGAAGTGGCTTTGGCGAGGAGGGGGAGGGGATTTAACCTGAAGCCTCTGAGATAAACAAAACAGTCTCTGGAGATAAACACTGTTGAGAGGCCTAATGCATGTGGCTCCAAGACTGCTTGAGGCTGGAATGTCAGCTGCCAGGCACTTATCTGCAATATCCCCCTTTCCTCATTTCAAAATGGGCTCCCTGATCAGGGCTCCAGCAGGTCACTTTTGTCGTGGTTGTCCCCTGTGTACAGAATAAAACCAAGTGCTTCAGCTCCTAAGACGACAAGCCGGCTAGACCAGGGACCAGAAAATAGCCCTCTCAACTGTGCTTCCTGGGTTTTAGCTGGGAAGCATTTTTAATGTTTCCTGCTAAAAGTAGTTAAGCTTTAAAAAAATAATAAAGGCCAAGATAATTAGGCAGGTGCTTCTACCTGCTCAGAGGAAAATGGACAGAGGTAAAAATCCCGTGACAGCGACCACTTTTACAGACAGGAGGGCTTTGTAAAATGAAGCTGTTTCCTGTGCACAGAGCAGTGGGCAGCAGGGCCCAGTGTCACAGGTGAAGCTACTGACCCTGCAGGCTGAGAAGAGCTGAGCTGTTCACAGCTCTTTGTGCAATTAAAAAAAAAACAAAACAAAACTGCAAATACCAAGAACACTTTCTGTCAGTTAATGTTGTTTGATTTTCTTCACTGCCCCACCCTGTCCTACTTCACACATTGCTGTGTAGCTAAAGGAAGGGTGGATCAGGTGCTCACACTAGACCCTCCCCACTGGGTATCGGAAACAACAGGAATTCTTTTTTTAATACCTAATTAAAATAATGAAACAAAATACACACTGGGGAAAATCGGAACTCATGGAATATCCTTCTTCTATGTTCCATCTCTTCGGTGCTCAGGATCCTCTGGAGGTTTTTTCCGGCTGTTGGCCATCCAAACCACAAAAAGATGCAGGTGCCCAGAAGGGAGAAGAGGTGCTTCTGAACACTGCTGCACATACTTCCTTTCTCTGTGGATCATTATGACCCACATGCTGCTGGGATGTACAACATTTTCTGTAACGATCTTCTTTAAACATCTCTCTTCCCACTAACTAGTTCCTTAAGG